CCAGATTTTGACCCTCCAAAGGAATTCACATGTGTACCTGCCAGTATCTTCCTCCAATTAAAAAAAATTATTTTAAAAGTAGCAAGCTGATGATAAAGTTCTTAGGAAGAAATGTAATCACTCACCTTGTGTAGGATTTTGAATTTGCATTTTTATATGTTATGATTTGTGGTCTCCAAGACAAACTGGTTGAGTAAAAATTGCTTATCTCATCTTGCAGCTGAATAACAGCCTGGCTCATAAAAGTGACTGAAACACAGCTGCCTACCAAGTCTGAGGAGGAGCCAGTGTTTAAATCAGGGTTTCACATCTGAAGCCTTCCCCTTTGCACTAACCAAGACTGCACTAACCAAGACTGTGAAACACACAAGAAACAATATATACCTGGAAATCAAATGGCCTGGGTGATCTTCTGGGTTGGATAAAATCCAGAAGCAACTATCTGATGCTCTGACTCCCATTCTGATGCTTTGTAATCTGAACCATCCATCCTCCAACACAGTCAGTCAAGCCTCAATATGTCTTCTGGATTTTTATTACATGCAGATGTTCTCTGTATTGTGAGGACAGTGCTGGAAGAGACTAGGGTCTTATTTGTAGTCTCTTTACCCACACTACCTTGCTTATAAGAAGCCCTAAACACATAATTATTTTAACAGACTGAGTCCATTCATTAAAAATTTCTTTTTTGTGGGGGGGGGGCATTGGAATGTGTATTTATTTCTAGTTAGTCTGGTTGTTTCAGACACCTTAGAGGTAGATCGTGTTTATGTTCACTGTGTTTTTCTTGTTAAAGTCATCATAGTTCTTTGGTAAACATTGCTGTAACCATTGAAAATTTCTTAAGCCTCTGCTGCGTGCCTTGTTTTAGGGTTCACAGGGCAAAGAAAGAACTCCAAAGAGCCAGCCTGGAATTTGCCAACTATTGAGGAATACACACACCGGAAGCCTCTAATGATCATGAGTGGCTCTCCCAGAAGAGGTATGCTGTGCAAGCGAGAACACTGGACTCTAACCCAGCCTGAAGCAGCAGGGAAGACCTTCCTAAACAATAGACATTAAGTGGCAAAGAAGGAAGAAAAAACCAAGACAGAGAGCTCAGCACATGCATGAAGGTGGAAAAGCATCCCAATGGCACATCCTAAATGTTGCATCTTCTGGACCACAGTTCTCAGAACAAATTTAATCGTGATGGGACTCCTGGGACAACAGACATTCTAAAAAATGAAAATCATCTCCCCATGGAGCTAAATCATGCCCTCTTAGATCTTTAGAATAGATCTTTGGTAAGTATATCAAACCCTACTTTAAATCCAATTAGTTTCTTGCTACATATGTAGAGATTCAATATCCCAATTGATACCTAACCTGGTTAAGAAACTGGACAGTTGTGAACCTGTTGGATAATGTTGCAAAAGTTCATTTAATCATAGGTAGTTTTTACAACTACAAATTTTGTAGTTGGCTATAATTGTACTTGCAGCTGGAAATTGTCTTTATCCTAAGAGAGGTTGATACATATGGTGTTATAGGTCATGTGTTGTATCCCAAGCAATAAATGATATTGCTTAACAAAAGGTACTTTATATGGGTCATTAAAATGAAATGCTCTTACAGCTATGTTTTTATGATTAAAACACATCTCAAAGCATATGTATATAAATAGAAACAGTCAGTAAGACGATACACATTCTCAGTGGGTATAGACAGACCTTGAGCAGTTGATTGGGGACCCTAAGAGACACTGCTAAATATTGAATCACATGCCTGCAGAATTTGTATTCTGAAGCCCCAACCCCCAGGACCTTAGAATGTATCTGTCATTAAAAACATGAGGTTTGGAGATCTAATTAAACTTAAACAAGGTCATAAGATAAGTCCCTAATCTGGTATAACTGGTGTCCTTACAAAAAGAGGAAGAGAGTGTGTGGGCAGAGGGAAGGTCATATGAGGACAAGGGGGAGGTGGCATGGTGCAAGCCAAGGAGAAAGGCACCAGAAGAAACCACAGCTGCCAAACAGACCACAGGCTTCCAGCCTCCAGTACCAGGACAAGGCTCATTTCTCTCGTTAAGCCATCTGATTTCTGGTGTTTTCTTACAGCAGGGTGTGAGTAGTAAATTTTACCCCCCCAAAAGGAAAACTTGGGTATTGAAAATTCCAGCATCCAAAATGATATTTAGAACAGGTCTTTTATGGAAGTAATTAAGATTAAATTGAGTCAGGCCTGGAGAGATAATGACTTAGAGGTTAAGGGAGCTGACAACCCTTCTAGAGGACCCAGGTTCAATTTGTAGCCCCCATGTGGAGGCTCACAACCATCTGTAACTCCAATTCCAAGTGATCACATACCTCCATGAGTACCAGGTATGAAAGTGGTACACAGATACATATTCAAGCAAACTACCTGCACACATAAAATACAATAAAATTAAAAATTGTTTTTAAAAAAGATTAAATGAAGTCAGAAGGGTAGGCCCTTAACTTGATAGAACTGGTGTCCTTCAAAGAAAGAGAAAAAAATGAACATATGTACAAAGAAAATGTTATACGAAGGTACCTCAGGCCTGGAAGAGAGGTCTACACTATAAACCAAATTCTCTAGCAGGTGAACCTTAGACCTTCAGCTGCCAGTGCTATGAGAAAGTTCATTTTTGTCATTGAAAATAGTGTGTAGCATTTTGTTACAGTAGCCCTAGGACACTAATGCAGACATACATTTTACAGTCATAAACACACATGTACAGGTATATACTGACACAGACTGGCTCAACACAGGCAAATTACCTACATTTCTCTTTGAAAACAGAAGTATTGTTTTATGCCTTTGTAAACTGGAATTTCTGTTAGACTGGAAATGAGGGGCATCATTTAGATGTATGAAGCCAGGATAGCTCTGTCTGCATAATAAGTAGGATATTTTTTTAAAAAATAGAATAGTTTTTAGGAAGGAGGTCAATGTATGAGTGCCAGCACATTTTTCAAAACTCTTTGGATATATTCAGAGTGATTCTTTCACCCTTCAGAGAGCATGAATCCCTGGCTCGTGCCACCTGCAGTTAGCGAAGGAGGAACTTGGACTCTGCTGTCACTACCTGAAACTTTCTCCACGAAGCTGATATATCCCTGTCACTTATCAAGTTACTGTAGGAAGCTTTTTGTGAGTTTAATTAAGCCTGACTAATTTTCCAACAGTACAAAGAAAGATGAATTCCTTAAATATTGAATCCATTTATGATTCAAGGTGTCATTCTCTGAAGGTGAGACTATTCAATTCTCAGAATTAATTACCCTCTGAATTCCAGTAGTTTTTTCAGGCACTTAAGACACAGAGTCACATCTGACACAAAGCATAACTTCAACATTTCAATAACTAAGAGACTATGCCAAACACTGCTCTAAGAGTCCCATTCTGGCCATGGAATGAAGGCTAAGCTGGATGGTAGTCAAGTGTGCCCTTGTCCGGATTGCCATTAGTGGTTTTCCCTCTTCTCTCCTCTTTGTCCTGGTACTAAACAGTTAAAACCTAGCTTTCCTCTGTGCTGGGGAGATAGCTCAGTGGGCAAAGAGCTTCTCTAGTAAGCCTTGGGACATGAGTGTGATCCCAGGACACACATTTAAAAAAGCTGGGTATGGAAATGAACACTTGTAATCCCAGTGTGATGAAATATTGACTTTCAGTCTGATGGGTCTAGACTGACCAAGGAGACAAATCTTTGTGCATGTCCATAAGGGCATTTCTATGCTGGGTTAATTAAGATGGAAAGACTTATCCTAACTTCAGAGGTAACACCATACCACGAGCTGGAACTCACTCTGTAGACCAGACTGGCCTGGAACTCACAGCCTCTGCCTCCTGAGTGCTGTGATTAAAGGCATGCCCCAGCCAGTGTGGAGGCAGGCAGAGGGCTGCATTTAGTGGGCAGCTCGTGTAGCCTGTTTGAGCAGTTCCAGGCCAGTGAAAGACCCTGTCTTGAGAAAAATTTTTTTAAAAAGACAAGTGGATGGTACCTGAGAAACATTTGAAATTGTCTTCTGACTTCCATATATGTACCTGCCTTGTTCCATTGTAACTTTAGGTCATCCCAAGCCTCATCTGCTTCTAGAAGCTTTTCTCCAGGGTATTCCACATGGCTTCTTTTCCCTGGTGTCACCATAGACACATCTGAGTGCAACTGGGACTCGACTTTCATCTTGAAATACCTGTTTGTTCTCTGTCACTACAGTGAAGGCAACCCAAGACTAGAGTCGGTGTTCCAAAGGTAAGACGCCCAACTCAAGAACTCAAGGGAATCTCTCAGATGACCACATGTAGGATTATCTTACAATCCCCCCAAGAAAATTGGACTTCAGGTCCCATGCAAGAAAGCTGGGAGACTGAACACACAAGGAGCCAGGAGAGTGTGTGCACGTGCGCCCACACCCCAGCAACAAGAGAAAGCAATGTCACATAGCCTGAGTACTTAGGGATTTGTTGGAAGTCAGTAACCACTGCTGGCATCACACCAGACACAGAGGCTATGGAAGGTTTCTACAATGCCTTTTGATAGAAATTCAGATTTCCTAAAAACATGAAATGGCAGGAGGAGACACAGCAGCTGTTCAGCTCTCCCACATGGAGTCTCGATTGAGGATAGTTCATCACCTGGTATCATTTTCTAGCCTTAGCTATATCAACAGTAACTGTCACACCTTTCCCAGAGTGAGTCATGGAGGAACCCTCTTTTACCCAGTGCCTCCCACACACCTTTGATTTAAAATGTAATATTTATCTTGAAAACATAAAGCACAAAGTGGTATGTTGCAATTCTTGGTTCAAGTTGCTTCTAATTAGAAAGAAGATACTTAGGCGTCCTGAAAACTTTTTTTCCAAAACCCAAGAATAGATAAAAATAGAGAAAAGATACTAGAATGGGAAGAAGGTGCCAGCTCCAGGTTTACTGCAGCCAGCGACACCCCACCCCCACCCCAAGCATCGGCACCTCAGACACCAGTACTTACCGCCTTTCATCATGCCTACTTCGTAACACTTGCGCAGCCTGCAGGCCTGGCAGCTCTTTCTCCTGTTCTTGTCGATTGTGCATTGGTTTGTAGCTGGGCACATGTAGTCATTATGTCCTAGTAGTAAGAAGATCACATTAGTGTCATTTCAAGAAACCTTACATCTCAGAACCTACATGGAAACTTCTGGAAGGTGTGCTTAACGGCCCTGGCTTGGCCTGGCCGAGCTGATACCCAGTCTTTCCTTCATCTCTGTCTTCTATATGTAAATAAAAGCTCTGTTAGCCTTCATTTATGACTCAGATGATTGCTTAGGAGTTGTTTGGGCAAATCCTCTCCCCCTTCACATGGCCAGTGTTAGACAATGTGATGTGGGTTTTGTGTGTGGTGCAGGAGATGGAGCCCATTTTCACTAAGGGCAAGATGCAAGCTAGTGAAATATTTGAACATGGACTCTTTGCACCTTTGGCAGCTTAAGAACCAAACTAGAACAGGATGGTGTAGGGATTTGAAAAGAAATGCAAGACTCCATCTTCAAAAGTAGTTTATAAATGCTACCATGTAAACAGGTTTCAGACCAAACTAACACCTTCATTCTTCTAATGCATAGGAAAGACCAGTGAAGATAGCAAGTAGGGTTCTAAATTTGAAACTCTGGCAAGACACCTAACACTGTCTCAAAAATTCAGAGCGTCACTATGTAGTCCAACCTGGCCTTGTACTCACAGAGATCTTCCCGGAGTCAAGGAATGTACCACTGTGCCCAGGCGCAGTGGTTATTTTTTAATTGTCTTTATTGATGGGGAGAAATTGAGGAAGGCATAGAATGAGGAACAATGCTGATCTGGGCTTAGAGTCAGGAAATTATAAGCAAATGGTTCGTTATTCTGATGCCCTAAAACCTTCTCTGGTGTTTACACAGTTTACATTGAGAAGTTTTAAGTTCCAAAAAGCTAAGTATATATTATTAAGCCACAGAAGAAATATTTAATAGCTACTTAAACCAAATACTACATTGGCTCACTTTCTCTCCGACGGCCAGGTATTTTGCAAGCCAGAAGAAAAGGGGCGAACGGGAGTGAGTCAGAAACCAACTGGCTGTCTCCCTATTTGGATTGGCCATCTACTATAGATGTCTATCTCCATGAAACCAGAGCAAGATCTTGAACTAACATGCCTAAGACATAAAACTCACTGGATCTGTGCAACTGACTGCATCCCTTAGCGTGGATAAGAGCAGATGCCTAGTATCATGATCACAATGCAGGACTTCTATGACAATGCTCAAAATAACCTAAGATGACTAATAATAAGCTGACTAGGAAAGGAGTCCAATAAATGAATAAATAAAAAAGTTCTAATAAACGTTTGCTATCTTCAGCCAAAACAAATCCTTCCTAACCAAACACCAGCAATGACTACTTTTAAGTCTTCAACTGATATTAGATAAAAAGCAACAAAGCTTCCCCCCCCCACACTTGATAATTTGTAAATGCCTGATGTTAAAGCAAGTGTTTCCCCAACTCCTTTATAAACCTTATTTGATCTGAAAAATAATATATGAGAAAATTGTACTGAAGTAGAATTAATTTTTGAGAACCAGCTCAATTATATAAGTGAAACATATAGCAATTTAACTACAGAGATGAGAGGCTGTGACCCTGTGATAAGACTGGAAGAATTACAAATGATACATCTAAAATGTAATATTCAGGTGGAAAGTTGGAAAACTAAACACTGTTTTCTTTCTTATCAAGAATAAAAAATGAGGCCTTGGAGATGTCGCTCAGTGGTAGAGTGCTTGCCTAGCATAGACAAGAATTTGGGTCTCAACATCATCACACATGAAAAATTAAATAAGAATTATTTGGAGGAATATATAACTTGGGGTGGGAACTGTAGGGACAGGATACAGATGACACCTACAAGCAAGGCCTGCCAGGCAAAGCTGGTTCCAGAGAAACACAGGGCTGATGCCACATGAGGGCTTTTCCTTCAGCTCCTCTAGGATTCCTTTCTCTTGACTTTTTCCTTCTCTTTTATTCTCTCATGACAGCTGTTTTCTTTTTATTATTAACGCCCAGAAAGCCTAGATTTGTTAGTTATGAAAATAAACAACGTCCCATAGCCAGACACTCAAAAGAAAGATAAACAAGGACCTAATTAAAACAAACAGTAGCTTGAGAGAAATCTAATAGTGTGGACTTTTCCCTTTGTCATCCTTCTCCTCAGGACATTTTGGCAGCAACCTTGGACAAAATCTCCTTTTGTGGCCTTCAGGCCTTTCAGTGAACCCAGCATTCATCCATCCATCCATTCATCCATCCATCCATCCATCCATCCATCCATCCATCCATCCATCCAGAATTGACTCATAGACCCTTTGGAACAGGTATAACCAGTTGAACTAACTGCTGTGGTTTGAATCATGAATGCTACCCTCCAGCTCCTATTTTGAATGTGGTAGTGTCTAGTTTGGATTCTGTTTAGAAGGTGGGGCCTAGCTGCGGAAAGCAGGTCACCATGGGTGGATCTGTGAAAGCTACACCCGAACCTGGCTGTACCTCATTCTCTCTTTTCCAGTCATTCACCAGTGGACAGACCTTGCCTCAGACTCTCACCACCATAGATCCAGGCTTTCCGACAACAGATCTGGCATAGCCCTGCAGCAATGGTCTAAGATTATTTGAACCCGAGAGTCAAAATAATCACTCTCCACTAAGCTAATTCTGTCACAGCAGCAGAACAATAACTAATACAGTGACCATCTTCGTGCATCTGAAGTCTCTGTCTTCTCAACTACCCACCATGAAGCCACACACATACAGAATCCTCATAGTTTACCTTCTTCACTGGACTCTCCCACTATGCCCCACCACACAGTCTCCCACATACCAGGAAAGCGATCAAATCAACCAATTTAATTTTTTTTTACAAAACAAGCCAGTTATTTAAAATAAATACAAGTGTGTGTGTGTGTGTGTGTGTGTGTGTGTGTGTGTGTGAGAGAGAGAGAGAGAGAGAGAGAGAGAGAGAGAGAGGGAGGGAGAGAGGGGGGTAGTATGTGTGTATGTGGATGAGGTGTATGTAGAAGACACAGGTAGACTTGGGGTGTCTTCATTCATTTTTCTCTTACTCCACCAATCACAATATTGTTTTTATTTTAAAAATGTATTTATTCCTCAACAGTTTCATAGCTACATAATGTTCATTGATCAAAGTCCCCCACTCCCAAATGCACATTATCCTCTCTCACTCTTTCCTCCATCCCTTCTCCTTTCCAAGTCAGCCTATTTTATGTCCTTTCTGCATTTCACTGGAGTATCTTGTATGCCCATGGGTTAGGGTCACTCACTTCACCAAGGGCAATGCACCAGTATCCATGGAGGAGCATGGCTCTTGACTGCTATTCATATTCAAGTGCACCATTCAAGGGACAGCCTCCTCTGCAACTCTGCTCCCACAACCGAGCTCACCACACTGGCTTTTAATTGCTTCTCTAAATCCACAGATGGGTTCAGGCTTAGCAGGCAATGAACCACACCTGGCTCATCATCCTACTGTGGCCACATCTTCAGGCAGAGAGCCTCTCGGGGAGTACACCTTTCAGCTGCATCAAGCAAAGATGCTAAGGCTCTGCTTGTCTCTCCACCAATCTATCTGTGTACCCAGGTCACAGGAGGGGACACTTTGGGCTCTATAAAGGAAATATCACTGTGTTAGCCACTTTAATGTTGCTGTGATAAACACCAAGACCAAAAGCAACTTATAGAAGAAAGGGTTTTTTTTCGGCTTATCATTCCAGAGAGAAGGAGACTCGGGATATCACAACAGTAGGGCAAGCATGGCGGCTGACAGCTAAAAGAAGATGCTGGGAGATCAATCTTCAACCAGAAGCATGAAGCAGAGAAGGCAAACTGGAAGTGGGCCAAGGCTGTAAATTCCTAAAGCCCTTCCCCAGTGATGCACTTCCTTCAACAAGACAGTGCCACCTCCACAAATAGTGACACTCACCAGTGCTCAAGGGTTCAAATATCTGAGCCCTGAATGCATGCAAGGTATTTCTCATGCAAAGCACTGCAAGTACTCTGAACAAAATGAGCAGTAAATGCCTGATGCTTGTTAACACAAATGAGCACTCAGACCCTTATTCATATGCTTTAAGTCATGTCAATCAAATGAAATCTACGATGTTTAACACCCACACATACATTAAAAGCCAGCTGCAGCCAACCTTGCCCAAGAGCCTCACTGGAGAACTCCAATAACACTTTTAAAAATATGTTGTTATTACACACGTGTGCACAGCATGGTCAAACAACAACTGTCAGGAGTTAATCCTCTCCTTCCACCTTGCTGAGACATGATCTCTCCACTATGTTCCCTCCAGGCCAGCTGGCCCATGAGCTTCTGGGTAACTATTTTATTCCTGATTCCCATCTCACCATAGGAGTGCTGGGATTTCAGATACCAGACACATCACCTGGATGTTTACAGGCTGTGAGGATTGAACTCAGGTCCCTAAGCTTGTACAGTAAGTGTTTTTACTTCTTGGCCCACAAGAAGCACGTCCTTGTTACTGACTTCACATCATATTAATCTCTTATATTTCACAGATCCATTTATTTAGGTAACACCTTGAACTCCAGCTACCTCCAGCTTCTCTTTATTAGAGACCTTTACCAAATTTTTCCATAAAATTAGCAAGAGTTCATTAGAATCTAAAGCTCCCAGGAGTTGTGCCTAAATAGTTTAAATTGCCAAAATAAGAAACAAAATCTGGATTGATTTCTTTAAGCATCAGTATGCATCAGTGTTAAATACAGCTTTGAATCCTGTGTGGATTTACAATAGATTTACACTTAGATTCTGCAGACATTGAAGCAAGAGAAAACTGACATTTAAATTCATCAGTAAGAGGTTATATAGACATCCTATGACTTATGACAGCATTTCATCCCAATAAGCCTGCCACACATTAAACATCACACCTTAAGAGTATGCCTAACACACCAGACACACCAAGCACCCTGGCTTTATAATACAGAGAGCTCTAAAGTCTGGCTTTTGCCCATGTGGTTACCTGAAGTGGTGCCCACCACTGTTGCCCATCGTGA